CATGGTAGTCCTTGAAATTAGGACAGGAGAGAGGCTGTCAGGGAGGCCTGGGCATATATGAGCACGTGGAAGGACCATGAGTCTCAGTATGCCAAGGCCAGGAGCCACGCCTGGGCCACCAGAACACCCACACTTGCTGTGACACTCTGGGTCTCAGTTTCTCCATCTCTACAATTAAATGACCTTGAAAGAGCCTTCTCCGATTTCCTAGTTAGACTGATAAGTGGGAACACTAAGGGCAGAAAGTGTGTGCAATACAGAATGTATGTAAAATCGACACCGCACCAAAAAACAAACAAAAAAAATCAGTATCACAATACAAAAATACAGGAGTGTAAGCACTTCCTTGTATGATGCAGAATAACTCAGGAAGATGCCCAGGAAACGTTGTTACCTAGTGGGAGGGACCAGGGCCTCATGGGGGACGGCTGAGCAGGGCTTTCCTCTCTCTGGTTTCTGGCCTCTGCCTACTGATGCTGGGCATGCGTTATTTAGTCGATACAGACATGCAGGGGTATTTTAAAAGTCCCTTTGGAGCTTTGCTGGTCCTGACCTCCTGCCTGATGCTGACCCAGCTCCCAGGGAGCTGCCCTGAGAGAGCTGGGGACCCATGAAAGGATTTGGGGTCAGGACAAAGCCCACTCCTAAGCCGATGTGTTACTGCCACCTCTAACAAACCTCATGGACCCTCCTGCCAGCCCTCCCTGTAGCCCCAGCCCAGCATTCACCACGGTGTAATGTCTGTGTCCAGGACCAGCTCTACAGTTTGCAAGGGCCCAGGGCAAAGTGAAAATGTAGGGCTCCTCGCTCAAAATTGATTAAGAATCTCAAGACGACGGCTTTAAACTCAGTGGAGGGCCCTTTTAGGCAAGCCCCTGTGTGGCTGACTGCAGGGGTCACACACTGTGAGCCCAGCCCCATCTGTATCTGCCTGGCCACCACGATGTGGGCTCCCTGAGGCAGGAGTGTGTCTGTCTTGTTCACAGAGCCTGGTACACAGTAGATATCCAATAAATGTGTTCTGTGAATGAATACGGGAGAAGGAACAGAACTGAGGTGTGGGCAGAGTTTACCATTGATAGGCAGCCTGTGTATGCTGGCTACAGTCCTGCCCTCCTGGGCCTTTCCCTCTGGGCCAGAGGAAATCTGGGGCTAGTTTTTCTGGAGGAGGAAACCCTCACCTCAGAGGAGGCAGCTGCCCTGTGCTCCCCTGCACACCTGCCCGTACCTCCCTCATCACAGCACTTCTCACTGACTTCTCATCTGGAGCTCAGCTGTGTGACCCTGGGAAAGTGACTTAACCTCTCTGTGACCCGGTTTTTTCATCTGTAATATGGAGCTAAGTGTGTGCCTACTGCACAGAGCTGCGCCCTCCTTCATGGATCAGTAAGCTCTGAAGCATGGCAGTCTTTGGACCAATGTCTGTACAAGGACCTGCTCGGTAGCCTTTGTCACTGTGCCTCTGTGATCCCCGGCAAACTCTGAGCTCCGTGAGGGCAGGGCCCAGGTCTGTCTTGCTCACGTGGATTCTTGGTTAACATGATGGAATGGCTGTGGGCTGTCAGCAGTTACTCAGGAGCCGTCCTAGGGACGCATCGTCCCCTGGAGAATGCACACTAGGGATCTGGGCTGCCTGGGCCAGCAGGTTCCTGGAAGATTCTTTGGGGTTTGCTGTGCCCTGCAGCTGGGGAAGCTGGGAGCCAGCCCAGAGCCCAGATGGGGGCTCCCTGCGAGCTTGCGGGTGTCACCGCAATCCCCAGGGCTGCCAGGTGCAGACAATAAATCCGGAAACCCTGGCGGGTGAGTCATTAAGGGTCCCCAAGGCCTCATGATGGGAGATGGCGGATGAGCTGCCCCTGGCTCTTTGGGTCCAAGTGCCACCATTCAAGAGGGTTCCAGAGCCCAGTGATGGGTCCAATGTCTGCAGCTGGCTCGGACTCCACCCAGCATCTGAAGCTGGCTCCGATGGGCCCAAACGGCACAATGAACATCACCAGTGTCACCCCCTCTCCTGAGGCTGTTTACAGGCGAATGTTGAGGCTTGTGGAGGTGGCAGCATGCATTGTCTCCGTGGAGGAGTTTGATGGCCCTCCACAGGAGCCTCTGGAAGCTGCAGACCATCTGTCACTTGGGGCATATTTGGGAGGGAAGGACAACAGGACCCCAAACGGCAGAAATGTCAGGGAAAGGGAGGACATGGCAGGGAAGGGGGTCGGGGGGAGTTAGGATAAATGGCGCAGACAAAGGCAGTAGGAATGAGCAGTGCGCAGCCCCACATGGCCGGGGCAGAGGGGTGTGTGTGTATGTGTGCCTGTCTTGGCTAGGGGAACTCCGGCCCTTCCTCCTGCCTCATCAACAGCTCTCTTGAGCCCCTTGCCCTACCCTGACCCGTGCTAAGAATCGTGGCACCAGCCTCGCTGTAGGGCCGGTAGCAATCACCTCCCTTCCCGTGCTCTTGGTCCGCTGTCTGGGTCTGACCATGCCTCCGTCTCACTGTCGTCAAAAGGCCCAGGTGTCCACCCCGTGCCCCAAACTGTGGGTTTGGTCCCCCCTCTGTGCCCCCAAAGCCCGGGCCTCCCCTCACAGCACTTGTCACTGTGTCCTGCAATCGCCCATTCGAGTCTGTGTCCCCCACCGGACTGTAGCGTCCTGAGGGCAGGGCTGTGCCTTACCGTGCTCGCAGGGCCCAGCGTGTGTGTGGCAAACAGTAGGTGCTCACCGAACTGCCGGCAGAATGAAAGTGAATGAGCCCCTGGGGCAGCTCATGTCCCCAGAGCCCACCGTGGGACCGGATCTCTCGGGTTCCATGTCTCCAGTGGCACCTCACTGCCATCTGGGCTGGGGGGCGGGGCCCTCCCTGACCACGCCCCTGTCTGGAGGCTGCGCTGCCCTCCCGGCTCCCCCGCGGGTCCAGCCCCACCCTCTGGGCAATTCTTGAGGCTTGCGGCTCACAGGACCCTTTGCTCCTGTCCTTGCGCTTGCCAGTCTCCACATCCTCCGCAAACACCACCTCCAAATACATCTCTCTCCCTCCCTGACCTTGCCCCAGTTCTCCCTGCCTCCAAGGTGCCCTTCATGCAGGAGTAAGGACCCGGGGCAGGAAGGGTCCTCCAGACCACCCTGCTTGCCCTGGGGCGAGGGAGCCCCAGGATTGTACACCCTCGGCATCTCTTCCTGCTGAATTTGAATCCTGACTCCAACCCTTCAAAACGAAGTGACCTTGAGAATGAGATGAACCTCTCTGGGTCTCGGTTTCCCAGCGACAAATGGTTGTGAGAGGACACGGGTGTGGGTGGCTGAACCTGCTGAATTGAATCCTGACTCCAACCCTTCAAAACGAAGTGACCTTGAGAATGAGATGAACCTCTCTGGGTCTCGGTTTCCCAGCGACAAATGGTTGTGAGAGGACACGGGTGTGGGTGGCTGAAGGCTGGGCACTGGCATAGGACACGCGTGGACCTAGTCCCAGCTCCGGCTCCTGCGCTTGGCATGGCCTGGGCAAGACCCCCTAACTTCTCTGGGCCTTGGTTTCCTTATCTGCAAAGGAGCTAAGGAGATGCCCTTGCAGCGGGTGGAGAGGCCCAGTGAGGTGGGGACCCCGCCGGGACAAAGGAGCAGAGATTTTCCTGCTTCTCGCATCACTTCCTTCTTCCCTGGGCTGGGAGTCATTCCTCCCTCCCCGCCACCCCCAAAACTAGACCAGCTCCCACTGCCCCCCAGCCTGGGTTGGCCCCGGTCTTCCCATGGTCCAGGGCCAGGGTGTGGGTGGCAGATGGAATGGGGTGCAGGCTGCTATTGTGATAAGGGCAGACAGGAATTGGAAGAGACCGGTGGGGGGTACGCCTGCCTTGCCCACCCCCAGAGATTCAGGGGGGCTCTGAGCTTGTAGGCAGCAAGAGCTGGGGCACCAGCTCCAGCCAGGGCCACTTCCCCAGCCTTCCTGCCGCACTGCTCCCAGGAGCCCAGGCGGGATTGGCCACCTGCCAGCCCTGAGTGGAAATGTACCAGCGAAAAGGACCCTGCTGGGGACCCTGGGGAGGCGTCCATCCCCTCCCTGCAGCACTCCCTCCCTTCCACTCCCCCTTCTTGGTCACCCCACATTCAAGTTCAAGCTCTGCCTGCAGAAGGGCAGGGGCATGTTGGAAACGGCACGAGGGGTTGGAAAGGTCTACAGAGGGCTGGGGTGGAGGTTGCATCTGCGGCCTCCAAGGCAACAAGTGGACTCTGGAATGTCGGGGTGCCGTAGCTGGGAGACCCTAGCTGGGGAGGACATGCGCGTGTCCTCTGTATGTGGGGTTTCTAAGTGCCGTGGTGTGAGTCTTTGCATGGGTGTGGGTGTGGGGGTGGAGGTGTTTGTGGTGCCTATCTGTGTGCGTGTGTGACGTGTGTGCGCGACGAGTGTGTGGTGTGCGCGTGGGGCGCGTCTCCGGGGGCCTGTCTGCGGCTGTCCCTGTGTGTCCCTGCGTTTCTGCTGGCAGTGGCGGGAGGGGAGGCTCGGGGCTGCCGCTGAAGGTCCTCTTGACACAGAATCCATGTTTGTCGAGGAAGTTTTCATTTGCATTTCCCTAATGATCAGTGATAGTCAGCATCTTTTCAGGTATTTGTTGCCAATTGGTATATCATTTTTGGAGAAATGTCTACTCAGGTCCTTTGCCCATTGATTATCAGAGTCTTTTGTTATTGTCAGGTCCCCGCCGGGAGGTCGCTGCCCGGCCGCCCCGCTTTGGGAGCCCCGACGCCGCAGGGCCGCCCCCCGCCCCCTTCCCCGCCCCTGTGCGCTGCACGCGGGACTCAATCTTCGGTGCTCGTGGCTGACGGCGGTGTTGCAAGCTTAGCAGAATTTTGGTTGAACAACGAAAAGCGAGAAAGAGAAGTTGGGGGTTGGGGAGCCTCCCCTCCCCGCCCCGCGGTCCGGTAGCGAACTCGGGCAGGTGGAAGGAGGCGGCGCGGCGCAGGGCCGGAGACGTGAGCACCGCGCGAGGGGAAAAGTTTCCGACCCTTTAGCAAGAGGCTGAGAAGTTTCGGCCGCGCCGGGCGGCGCCAAAGCCAGGCCAACACTGCCCCCGCGTGGGCGCGGCGCGACGCTGCAGCCGGTGGCCGGTTTGGGGTCCGCCGCGGCTCTGCCGGGGAAATTGAGGCTCGGAGAGGGCGAGGTGGGTTGTGCAATGCCACGAGGAGAAGGTGCAGAAAAGAATCAGGCCTTCTCCGGGACCCGCAGGCTCTTCAGGAAATATAAGTACTGGGGGAGGGGAGTGGGGGTGGGGTGAAAGTCCAGAAAGTGGGGATGGAGGGGATAGGTCATCCCAGGGATCGAAATCCCACTACACTCCCCAGTGAAGGGGAATGGTAGCACTGCTCCATCCCATCCCCACAGGGTTGGTAGATCCGTGGCCTTTTCTGGAGCCAGGGCCCTCCTTCGAAACAGTTCTCCCCCATCCACACCCCGTCCTGGCCCTAAAATCCCCACGGCTGGTCCAACCCAAATCCCAGCCTTTGCTATTCAGCACTGCGTCTGGGTGTGGATTCCGTGGCTGTTTCTTCACTGGCCGGGAGGTGGCGATAAAGACCTCGATCCCGGCCTTGGCGAGGGGTTGGAGCCAAAGCGCTGCTTCTAGGAGAGAGGGGAGGGGGCCAAACTTTGCCCAGCAGTTGGAACGCCGGTGTGTGGCAGGGCCAAACCTGGCAGACAGGCAAATAAATGGGGGTGGAACTGCTGGATCGGTGCAGCGGTCGGAAAAGCTCCAGGCTGTTCCTGCCACCTTGTCTTGCGCCACCTCCTGTGTGACTCTGAACACTGCCCCCCTAAGTGGGAGAGAAACATCTGACCCCTGCCCACCCAGATGCTTGCCCTCCAGGGACCAGATGAGACTCTGGCCTGGGGAACACAGAAGACAAATGTTTGTCCCTTTGGCCACAGTCTGGATGCCCTCACCCCACAGGGGAGGTCCGCAAGCAGCCTTTGGTTCCCGTCAAAGATGGAGGGAGGCTGGGCTGGGGGAGGTTGGGGCAGGTGCCTGTTTCAGGTGTGGGCTGATCTAGGTTGAAAGAGGCTTGGTCCCAGGTTTGAGGTGTGTGGCAGGGTCTCCCACCTCCCAGAAGAGGGGCTCATTTGGAACAAGCCTGACCCCTGAAGATGCCGTGCCCCCCCATCTTTATCCCAGCTGTGACTCTGCCCCAGCCCTCCCCCTGGCCCAGGACCCCCAAAGACCAGCAACCAGGAGAGGTTTGTAGGGTGAGCCCTGACAGCAGATACCAGCCACCGGGGATGTGCGTTTATTTGTGGGTCAGGGAAGGCCTCTCCTCACCCCTCACCTGTGTCCACACCTGGGCTTGGGCACCAGCGGCCATTCACCTCTGAGCGCGATGTGATGTTGACGGCAGGAGAAGCTGGGGCCCCTTAGGGCGGCCTTGTTTCAGGACCGTGTGTGCAACACCAAGCTGGGCAGGAAGGACTCCTAGGGCGAGAAGGGGGACCAGCTGGGCATTCTGGGGGCCTCTGGGCAGGAGATGGGGTTCCCTGGGCCCAGGGGGATTCTACACCACAGCCCGAGGGGGCAGGCACTGTGGTCAGCCCCATTTTACAGATGCGGAAACTGACACGAAAAAGACCCCACCGATCGAAAGTTAGGAGCTTGCGATCTGAACCCAGGCAGCCTGGCCTGAGAGCCCACCCCTTAGCCGAGCACATACGGGGGTTTTACCCAGAGCCCTGGCCACCCCACTGGGCACCAACTCCCACCAGGCAGGGGGGCTCCAGGTGGCTGGCTGCCAGCAGTTGCTCACTAGCTTCTGGCTCCAGGAACAGGGCAATTTGCCCACCGGCTCCAGAAAGGTTTTGAGGTGCCCCCGCTCCGCTGCCTCTGGATGGTGGGCCTGGGGATGAAGGGCAGGCTGCTGTTCATAGAGGTGTCCTCAGAGACGTGGCCCTTCGGCTCCAGGGTGGACCTAAGGGGGACAGGAGCCCATGAACTGTGTGGACCCTGAGTCCCAGGTCCACCCATGGCTGGCAGAGCCCTCAAGGGCCCAGACCACAGCTGGACAGGGAGGTTTACAGGATGAGGAGATGCATGAATCCCATCCCCTTCCACAAAGCCTCACAGGCCAGGGAAGTCCCAGCCGAATGAGTTGGCCATGGTGTCCTCCTTGGCCCTGGGATACAGGGCTTTGGGCAAACTCTCCAGCCATCTCCCGACCCTCCCGAACACCTGCTCCGATGCTGCTGACCCGCTGGCTGTCCTGTTCTCGAGGATGCCCTGCCGGACTGGAGGAGAGAGAGCATGGGTGAGATCTCTACCCAGGCGGGGCACCTATATCCCCCTCTCTCCTCCTCCCTCTGGCAGGCAAGATCTGGCAGAGTCCCGTCTCCATGGCAACCCAAGGCTCCCAGAGCCTTCTGGCTGCCTCCAGGGAAGGCTCTGGTTTTAAAACTATCCTGCATGACTGTTTCTGCCTCTGTTACCGAAGCTGTGCCCCCTACCCCCTCCCCACACCCCCGCTCCTGCTTCAGCCCAAAATGGGCCCCGTTTCCCACAGTCAGAAGGCCAGTCGTCCCACCTTGTAAATCCAAGAGACGCTGCTGAGAATCCTATGGGGATGGAGAGTGTTTCCTGTCCAACAGCTGCCCCTCCAGCTGGTCAGGAACCCCGAATTCCTCAGGATGGAAAGGGCTGGGAAGCAGCCGCTGAGCTCCACTCTGGTGTTCTGGGGTATGACCACAGCCCAGTGACTGTCAAGGAAGTGTCTCCCATGCCAGCCAACTGCCATTACCAAGAAACTTTCTCCAGGGGCTCCCATTCCTTGGATTCCCAGGGCTGGCCAGGGGGCACTCTGGCTTCTCTTTTCAGCTGCTGTGTCATCTGCCCTCAGGGCCTTGGCTGCCCCATCGAACAACCAGAAGTTGGGCAGAATTGCAGCTTCCACCTCCAACTTCCTGTGACCCTGAGGGGGATGGGTTGGGTTCCTTCTGAATCCGCCAAGGTCCTGGATTTTGAGGGCTTTGCCCCCAGCGAGGCTTTGGGGCAGCCGATCCCTGAAAGCGCACACAGTCGGTGCTTAATAAATAGATGAGGCTGTTGCACTGCTGGATCCTGAGAAGAGAAGGCGCTGGGCAGATGGGGAAAGCAGGCCTTAGGAAAGATCATACCAGAGCAAAGACGTGTATTCTTCCCACCTCTTGACACCCACTTCAGAAAACACTGGAAACTCTGCCAACACGAACAAAGCTCTGCCTGGGAACCTGGGCCTGGTGGTTGGTTCCTAGCTTCTTTGCTGGACCAGGCAGTGCCAGCCTTCCGTGGAGGTGTGACCTTCTAGAACTTTCTGGGCACCTCCCAAGCCAGGCCTCTGAGGTCTGCCTTCAGGGATATGGGAAAAGGATGCTTCGGGTGCCTTTGTTCCTACCTTCTCCAGACCCTGGAGGCCATGTGCGGGGTCAGCAGGCTGAGGTTGTGGGTTCCAAGGTGGGCAGATACAGCGTGTGGGAACCCTTGGCAGAAATCCCGGAGCGCTGTGTCCCGTAGCGTCTCATCCGCAAACCGCACGCTGAAAGGGCAACACCGCCTGCAGTGCCCTGAGCCTTCCCCCGAGGAGCTGTGGGTGAGCACGGCCTTGAGCTTGGGGGCCTGTGTAGCGTGGGGCCTGGTGAGAGAGATGAGAAGGGCAGGGGAGGACCAGGGCCTGAGGCCCCAGTCCCCCACGCCACCCTGACAACACACATCCACCAGGCCGGAGCTCCCTGTGGGATCCTGACAACCACAGCTGACCTCTCCTGAGCACTTCCTGCCCTTCAGGCAATGGCTTGTAACAGGCATCAGCCCACCAAACCCACACAACTCTGTGAAACACGATTATTATTCCCATTTTACAGATGAGGAAACTGAGGCACAGAGGGGTTTTGTTTTTCGTTTTTTGCAACTTGCCCAAGATCGCACAGCTGGTTAGGGGTGAAGCTGAGATCTGAATTCTGGTTCCAGAGCTGGTTCTCTTATATATCAAGCAATTCCGCAGAGAAAATAAGGATATGAACTCCGGAGTCAGGCAGTCCTGTGTTTCAATTCTGACTCTGTTGAGCCTGAGTTTCTTTGTCTGTAAAATGGGGATCATTGTTGTGCCCACCGTACAGGGTTGTGAAGAGTTGATAGGGACTGAAAAGCACCATCCCCCGCACCACCACCCAGGCCAGGGTCTGCAGGGCCAAGGGTAAGCATCTCTAACTGAGAACTGTTCTTATAATCGTCAATTTCAATTATGCCCCTTCCCAGTCCTGCAACATGGGGCAGACTGCCCTCAAGTCTCCATTTTACAGTTTTCCCTTTTAAATTATGTATTATGTATTGTAGACACGATAATAGCATCCTTGTAAGAGTCTGGTGAGTATCAAATAACTTACATGAAGCATCTGGTACAGGGCCTGGCAAGGGGCCTGTGCTCAATAAAGGGGATCTGTTATGGTTACATTTATTAATTTCAGCCTCCAGAGCAAGGCTGCAGGAGGGCTTGCTTGATTCATCCACAGCTCTGTTATTCAGAAATGCCACATTTGACCTTACGTACAATGCTTATTGATATATCTGACTCCATGTATCTTTCCACATCTTTATGTCCGTTTGGACACAGAGGGGACACTTTTCATAAGTCCATTGAAGAGCCAGGCATCCAGGAGATGGCCAAGACAGTGTCGGCTACAGGCATTGAGACCTAGTTATGCAACAGCTGTTTGCTTATCCATGCCTGCTTGGTGCTGGCCTCAGGACCAGCCAAAGGCTTGCCCCAGCTGTGCCCACTGGTCTGAAATCTCAGCTTCTCCTCTCAAATACTGCTGGAGCGTGTTCTAATGCACCCAGCCATCCCCAGCAGGGCCTACTAGGGAACCCCACACACCTTAAGGTGCTCAAGAATTAGCTCCTGCATGTGAAACACTGTGAAGGCATCCATCCCTGTTGTTGCTTACATTCAAGATAATGAGTTCCATACTCTTATTTATTATATCTTATGAGATGGTCTGATTGATTTAAAGTTCCTGGGTTGGCAAATGTGTTTCATTTCTGGCACCTGCTCTGATCCACTGGTGGTGTCTGCCTGGAGCCCTGTGGCAGGAAGGGTTCTGAGGTTCAGTGGGGGAAAAGTGCTGTGATCAGTTAGTACTGTCTGCCATGGGTCCAGGATGAGAAGGAATGGCATGTCTAGTGTATTTCCTCTCCCTGGTCTTTAAACTCACGGGCAATGCTCTTCACCTTTCATCCATGTTTAAGCCTGTTTAAGCAGGAGGAATTATTTCTGTATTCTTTTCCCCCTCCATTAGAGCTACAGCATCTAGGCCCAGTTAAGCTCTAATGCCCAGGCTCTTCCTACCCCCATCCCTTATTTTACTTCCCCCGATATTAGACATATAGTAAAAGCTAATAAAGGTTAGAGGAAGAAATGGATGAATGAATGGTGGGTTGTGTGAAAGGATGGAAGACTGGGTAGCTGGGTAGGTGGGTGGACAGATAGATGAATTAATGAAAAGGTCTTTTTTTTTTTTTTTTTTTTTTTTTGACCGCACCGCATGGCTTGCAGGATCTTAGTTCCTGGACCAGGGATTGAACCTGGGCCACAGCAGTGAAAGCACCGAGTCCTAACCACTGGACCGCCAGGGAATTCCCAAAGAGGTCTTAATACAAGGATTGGATCTTAGGAGGATGGGCACATGTATGGATGCATAGGTGGGTGAATGATTATATAGATGAGTGTGTAGATTTGTACATGGCTTCAAGACTAAAAATGGATAGCATCCTGGATTTACAGGTGGATGGAACGATTGGTAGATGACCAATCACTGGATTCATGGGTAGATGGATAGAACTGTGGGAATTTGGGAATAGCTGGATGACTGGCTGGCTGGCTGGCTGGCTGGCTGGATACATGGATTAATGGATCAACAGGACACCTGATTCATGGGTGGATGGATGGATGGAGAGATTCATGAATAGGTTTTAAAAGACGTGGTTCACAGATAAGATGTATGCAAGGGTGAATGGGTGAATGGGAGAATGAATATATGATGAATTATGAAGGTGTTGGTAGAATACCTGATTAATGGATGGACACAGACGGATGAATAGGTGGACAGATGGATACATTCATGGGTGAAAGGCAGAGGAAAGAAAGGAAGGAAAGAAATGCTCTTTCTCCTCACTCCCCTACCCCATCCTCCCATAACTCACTGATTGGTCTTCTCAACCCTGGTGAATTGTGAGTGATCTCTCCTGAAGGGCCCCAGGGCAGGTATCTGATGGAACAAAATCTTCTTAAGACTATTCTTGAAGTACAATGACTGGCCCCTTGAAGACAAATAGGCCACACCTGGCATGAGTGATCAGGGTCCCGATCCTCTGTTTCCTCACCTGAAAAACGGTGACGGTGAGAGTACGCACTTTTTGAGTTACTGTGACGTTTAAATGAGCGAGCACATGTAAATGGCTTAGAATAATGACAGGCACGTTGTACGTGCTCAAGGAAGCCTAGCTGCTGTTGTTATTATATTTTAAAATTATTATTTAGGATTTAGTTTCAGTTCCACTACTTATTAGCTGTACCCTTGGGCAAGCCAATTAATTAACTGCTCTCAGTGCCCTCATCTGCAGAATGGGGATAACCCAGTGCCTGCTCCTTTGTGAGAATGAAACAGCACCACATGGTAGAGAGCACTTAGCATCTGGAGTGTTCAACGTACTGTTACTGTTATTAGCGCTGAGGTGGGAATTGGGAAACCTGGAACCAGCTTGAAAGGGTGACCTGCCCTGCAGCTGCCCATTCCTTCTGGAGCCCCAGAGTCCCTTGGGTGGGAGCTTAGTGAAAATACAGATGCCCCAGATACCGATTCAGAGGTCTGGGGTGGGGCAAGACATATTTTTAACAAACTCCCCCTTTGGGAGACAGAGCCCCAGCCCCGCCCCCCCATTTCTTTTCTTTTCTTTTTTTTTTTTGCGGTACGCGGGCCTCTCACTGTTGTGGCCTCTCCCGTTGCGGAGCACAGGCTCCAGACGCGCAGGCTCAGCGGCCATGGCTCACGGGCCCAGCCGCTCCGTGGCATGTGGGATCCTCCCGGACCGGGCCACGAACCCGTGTCCCCTGCATTGGCAGGCGGACTCTCAACCACTGCGCCACCAGGGAAGCTCCCCGCCCCCCATTTCTGACACTGGCATCTCAGAGCCTGCTTCCTCCCTACCACACCCCACTCCCAGATTGTTGTCAGCTCTGAGCTGGTTTCTAGTGTCACATTCACCCTAGTGGGGCTTTGGCGCGGGGCCGGAGACGGTCCCCTGAAGTTAGAGCCCCCTACCAGGTGGGCTGCTCCTTGGAAGAGCCCATCTTCCCAGCTTGGTCCCTCTGCTGGCCCCTCCCTGCTGCCTCCATGGCCTCTTCAGGGTCATTCTGATCCACCCCTCACCCAAGGTGAAGTGGGCACTGAGGCTGGGGGGCAGAGGGCGGGGCTGTTGTGCTCAGGATGCCAAGGCTGCAGTCACAAGGGAGCATGGGACTCCTGGCCAGGGCAGCCAGGCCCAAGCCAGGGATGGAGGGCCCTGGGTTCGGCTACCCTCTCTGGATCTGGGAGGCTCAGGTGGGTCATGTTTGGGCTGGGTGGCTTTGCAGGTGGAACTTCCACTAGAAGGCTGGGTAGTAAGAATGCAGTGGGCCTGGAAACTACGAGGAACCAGTCTGAGTCCATGCTCTGTTCCTGCTTGCTGTGTGGTGCTGGATAAATCTCTCCTTTCTCAGGGCTCCATGGTAAAATGGATTGTTGGGCTCCACCTGTGACTCTTGGAAAAAGCTTGTATTGTAAAACTTGAGTGCGGGATGAGTGTAGTTTGGACCAGTAATTTCACTGGCCTGGTAGGATTTTACAATTTGAAAGTGAAAAAAATGACTTTGGAATTCAAATTACAAGATGTCTGCCTGGAGGAGGCATCCCAATGTAATACATTTCCACAAATACTCCCCAGCCAGGGATGGAAGGGCATACCTCCTTGGGAAGACAGAATATTGAGTGGGGAAGGTGAGAAATTTTTATATTTATTCTAAGGGTGTGTGAGTTTTTAAAAAATGGTTGAGGAACACCAGACTACCTATATGATTTCTAAGGAGGCCTCCAGCCCTTACATGCTGCAAACATTTATTGAGCATCTACTATGTGCGAGGCTTGGGAGTTCAGAGATGCAAGAGTCTTTGAGGTTAGTGGACTGGCCAGACCTGGAAAGGCCTTGGAGTCCAGGTGTAGGAAAGGGAGTTTGTCTTCCATTGACAGGAAAAAAAGGTAGGGGTGGATTTTTAGGCACCCCTAAGAAAGCTAGGCTCAGAGCTGCCCCCCAAAGATTATAGAAACCTCCAGACTGAGATTGCCCAAGATTTATCCCCTTGCCATAGTGACATGGAAAATGAAGCTTGGGAGAGGAGCCCAGGCCAGGGGAACCAAGTCTGACCTGCAGTGCCCTAGCAAGGATGCCACATAATATGGACAGATTTGGGGGACTCAAAAGCAGGTGGGGCTTTTCAGGACCCCCCCCCCCATAGCTTTCACTTCATTAGAGCAAACACATTTTAAGCCCTTCCTTTGTGCAACGCCCAGAGGAAGGCACTGTAAATCTAAGCCAGGATGTCTGTTTAGGAAAAAAGAACTTATGATGAATATTGTGAATATTATGACATAGATGAATATTGTGATGAATATTATGAATCAGCTTCTATTTACTGAGAGCTGGCTCCAAGCACAGGGCTGAAGTCTTGACGCATAATATCCCACAAATTTAACCCTCAGAGCATTCCATCTACCTGGCAGAAGTGGAGACTGAGGCTTGGAAAGGTTCACAAGGTCTACCTACCTACCTGCACTCTCATTTCCATCAAGGCTGCTTCAGGGACCGCTCCAGAATTTCTGTGTATGGCAAGAGCCTAGGGGAGGGCAACCTTTTGGGAACAGAAATTTCATGGATTTGCTCTGCTTATTTGGAGTGGCAACCCCTTGGCACTGTCAAGGGTATTTTTCTTCCTTTTTTTTTTCTTTTTGATCTGTATATTTTAAGATGTTAATTGTTATGGGTGGGATTAAGGCTTGCATAAGGCTCCCCCTCCCCTTTTTACCCAGTGGAAACTCCACAGAACGCTCGTTTGTAAAAGTCCAGCCTTGCCGCCTCCTAGTGAGCTGCAAGCTGGAGGCGAGACAGGGTCGGCGCTGCGGCTTTTTAGAGATGGGAAGCTCTTGCCGGGACACTACTCGAATTGGGTCCGGAGCCCACGGGGCGGAGCCCGATGCGGCCCCGCCCCCGGGAGCCCGGAAGTGACTAAGCGGACAAAGGCGGCGCGCGCCGCGAGCTGTAGCGTCTGGTAGAGGTTAGGCGGAGCTGCTTGGGGGCTGCTGGGGTCTTCGCCGCCGCCGCCGCCGCCGCCTCCGCCCTCCCTTCCTTTTCCCCGTCCTCTCCTCCCGGGTCCTAGGAGCCCCCGCGTGGGGTGAGTAGCGCGAGGCGGAGCAGGGGACGGCGGCCGCCGGGAGAGGGGAGGCCCCGGCCCCCAACCGCCTGGGCGCCCTGAGGCCCCGGCTCCTCACGTGACCCGGGCGCGAGCTGGCAGGGCCCCACGTACGCGCTCGGGGGAGGTCCGTCGGCAGGCCGGCCGGCCGGCCCTGGGCCCCAGGTTGGGTGGGAGGAGGAAGGCCGAGGCCCCCCAAGCCTGATCAGGGCACTCCCCCACGCCGGCCCCCGCCGCAGCAAGTTCCTTTCCCTCTCTGAGCCTCAGTTTCCCCCGTGAGAAAACGGGTAAGGAGAGCACCCACTAGGAGGGTGGGTGTGAGGATTCAGTAAAATGCTCAGATCAGAGTCGGGCACAGGGTAGTGCCCGGTTACATAGGCGTTGCTATCATATTTCACCTTGGACCCGACCCCAGTTAGGGGTCAGCATAGGTGCCGCTCAAAAGACAGCCCGCCGCGAGGAGCCCTTGGAGCCAAGGTCAGCCTGTTGGCAGAGAGGCTGCCATATCAGAAGGCCCAGGCTTTGCTGCCCATCACCTGTGTGATCTCTCTCTGGACCGTGGTTTCTCTGTACAGTAAGGGATAGAACCAGCTGGTGTCGGAGGCCTTGTGGGTGGGGCTGGGTAGTATTGCACATGGTCTGGATGTATGGAATCTGCCCAGCGAGATGGGATGAACCCCTGGGAGAACTAGGGCCTTGACCCAGTAAGAAGCCTGGATTCCGTCCTTATTCTATTCCTGGTTTTCTGTGTGTGTGCGTCACTCCACGAGTGGAATGGTTTTTCTCTCTGTGAACTGGGGACTGTGGGAGGGTTGAAGCACATATAGAATGCTTTGGTGGAGACTAGAAGCCGTAGGATCACAAAGATAGAGTCACCAAAACCGGCAGGGCTTCCATGCTTCCATGGATGGGAAGCACACTCCCCTCTGCAGATTGGCAGGGCTGAGTCACTGGACCGACCACCCAGCAGTAACAGTAATGATCCCTTAGGTGTGGCCAACACTCTGGTTTATAGGGCCTTTCAGCACATTTTCTCATTAGAGCTTCACACTTGGCAGAGAGAATTGATGAGAATCTCATCTGACAGAGATTTTTGAGATTAATGCATGCCCAGCAGTGTATGGATCACTTTACGCTTTTATATCCATGTTTAGTCATCACAGCCTTCCTATAAAGTCAGTGTTGCTGTTCCCATTTTATAGATAAAGACACTTAACTGAGGTTGTGTCTTATCTGCACTTACACAGCCAGTGAGAAGCAGAGCCAGGATTCACACCTGGTTCATTCAACTCCATCAGAGCCTTTGTTTTTAAATCCCGCCCCCCCCCACACACTTTTTTTTTTGGTCCTCTTTACTCCCTCCCTCCCTTTCTTTTTCATAGAACACCCCGCCATTCTCAGAAGTCCAACGGCTGTCCACACAGCCAGGGAGGACAGGCCCTGTCCACGAGGGTGTGGGAAGGAAGAGGTAACATCAGGCAGGCTCGTGCCTCCTGATGCTTCCAGGCTTTTCCTTAGAGACTGGTAAATGATGAGATGAGCCTGCAGAGCCTGATGGTGACAGTCCCAACACCACGATTCTCTTCCAGGGATCCTGGGAGAAGAGTAATAGCCGGGCGGCTGGTGGCCGGGGTGGCCCTGAGCACCTTGGAGGGGGGCGTGGCTAGGTGGCCACATGATCATGAAGGATTCACAGGCACATTCCACTTGCTGAGGAGCAGAAGTTCCCTAGGAGCAAAGGGTCTCACTTCCCCTCCAAGCTAGCCCAGAGCGCAGGAGGCCAGACCGCCCAGGCCCCTCCCCTGTCCCTGGGGCCATGTGGCTCCTTCCTTGCTGTGATCCCAGCAGAGTGCAGGAGGACCTCCTGCGGGTTGACTGACAGCCCCGCTGTTCCCTCTGACTCCTAGGGACGTCCTGCCCACCTCAATCTGGACACTGGGAGGCAAAGTGTAGACAGGGCCCCAGAAGTCATGTTTACTAATGAATCTAAGCTGTTAGGACAAATGTCGGGGCTATACTTGCCATTTCCCGGCCTAGATGTGCCTCCCCTGGCTTGTTCCTAGAATCTACCCGTAAGTGGAATTCTTGTAAATTGGATTATTCGGGGGACCTTGACATTTAAAGGAATCATGTTGTAAGGCTTTTGGTAAAGCAAAGAATTGTATCGTCAGTAAAGGGCTCCAGTGATATCAGGTTTGAATGATTCGATTTTTGTCTGTAGGATTTTCTTAAAAGTGCAGAATGACTGGCCGCACAAAGGTCCTTCTGTGACTCATTCAGCAAAACCAGTTAGTAAACACCCACCTCGCAGCAGGTGTTAGGCTAATGGCCTATGAGTAGCGTCCCTGGGCCTCGGAAGCTTGCCTCCTGGGAGGGAAGGCAGACAGATAGGCAGAGAGAGTACGGCCAGGGAAGCGTCTGGCCCTGGATTTATTCTGTTCATCTGATCGGAAGGGAACTTTGTTGAATACTTATGAGCTACATGAGACACAGGAGAAATACAGTGATACATCTCAGGGTGTTGCCACTGCTTTCTAAGGAGTTTCCAGTCCAGTGGGGAGATAGACACAAATACAAAACCAGAAGTTTGTGTGAGGGACACAGGGCCGAACTCGCTGAGCTCGTCTGAGTGGGAGCACTGCTGTGTGGCCGGCTTTGGTGCTGTCCTTCCTGGGTGACGGCGGAGGGGCTGGGAAAGAGGTGCTGTGGTGGCTATCGGCGGGGGGGGG